GTAGAATAGAAAATGGAATGGAATAGAATAGAATAGAATAGAAAATGGAATAGAATAGAGTAGAATAGAAAATGGAATGGAATAGAATAGAATAGGAATAGAATAAAATAGAATATAATATAATATAATTCTTTATTGGCCAAGTGCAATTGGACACACAAGGAATTTACCTTTGGTGCAGATCCTCTCAGTGTACATAAAAAGACAAGATACATTCGTCATGAATCATAAGGTGCAACATTTAATGATAGTCATAGGGTACAAATAAGCAATCGAATCATACTTGGAAACGATCAATATAAATCATAAGGATACAGCAAGAAGGTTACAGTCCTTCAGTCATAAGTGGGAGGGGATGGGTGATAGGAACGGTGAGAAAACTAATAGTAATAGTAATGCAGGTTTAGTAAATAGTTTGACAGTGTTGAGGGAATTATTTGAAGAGTGATGGCGTTCGGGGGAAAACTGTCCTTGTGCCGCTTTGTCTTAATGTGCAGTGCTCTATAGCCTCGTTTGGGATGGTTTCATTGCTGGTTCAGATTTTAGGAAGATGATCACATATGAACCAAAGGGGACTAGCAATATATAAAGTGGCTTCAACACCTTTATTTTCTTATGCCCTAAGTCCTAAGTAAAGAATCCAACTGTGGCCCAGGTGACAACTACGAATTATCTTCATCCCCACGTTGTTATATCCCGGATGTCTGTACCAGACCTTCCTGGCCCCCAGTTAAGACCTGCTTTCCTATCGTCTATGGCAGGGGTGTCCAGACTTGGGAACTTTTAAGACTTGTGGACTTCAACTCCCAGAATTCCCCAGCCAGCTTCAGAATTGAATTGAAGGGGGGGGGGCTTCCAGTTAGGATCTTTATGGCTCTTTAAGTGTTTAAGGTTGCCGACCCCTGATTTAAACCCACCTGCTTCTCCAGCTGGGAAGGCTAGATCTCCAAGTCCACTTTCCCGGCTGGTGTTACTCTGGCTCCACCCTGTGGCTGAGATTGAGTTTGCTGACACTCTTCTCCCCCCCACCCCCCTCTTTCCTCTCTTTGCAACAGGACATGACTGATAAGGTAACCCCGGGCTGTACCAAGACATGTGACTGGCTCACATGAGGAAACGCCGGAAACTGCATTAAGGCATCAGTTGAATGGTGTTGATTGTTCTGCTTGACGCTCCGGCCACAGTGTGATGCAGACTCTGCCCCTCCCTTGTTGAACACACACACACACACACACATATACACACACACACACACGCTGAGCCCCGTTATGAGTGAGTGATGGAGCTGGGACTTGCCGAAATATTTATTCATCTTGACTTGGGGTGAACTGGCCGTTTTCCAGGACTCTTCTGGGAAAGAGGACGGGGAACGGTGGGCCGAGCGGCGCGACATCACAGGACCTTTGGAAATACGTTTGGGGAGGAAGAAGCCACTCGCAGCCCCTCTTGTTCCTGGGCTGCAGCCGAGAAAGCTATTCCAGAGTTGGCCGAAGAGAATGTCCAGATATGACGGTGGGTTGGGGGGGTCACTTTTTTTCCTTTCCCAACTTTTTCATTGGTGAGAACTAGTCACCTGGCACAAGCAGGTAGGTGGACTCTCGCAAAGAGCACCGGAAAGGACGAGGCCCTCCGGCCTCACGCTGGCCTGGGGAAACTGGGGGAGGAGGAGGAAGCAGGGAGACTTCCACCGGGACTGCCACGAGCCTATGTACGTTTCTCGGTCAGGAACGGTTACCGAACTTCTCTGTAGCACTTTGCCTTGGGGGGGGCCGCTGCTCTCCAAAAGGCTGTCCCACCAGCCGTTTTTCTAAGCCCCTCTCCCTGCTGGCCGGAATCGCCTGGGGCAAGCCACTGCTTTGCTCCCCAGCACAAACAGCTTCTCAGTACTGCTACAATATGGCCTTTGGGCAGGCTGGTCCTGCTTCTGTTGGGGAGGGAGGGAGGGGGGGGGCCCTCCCACTGTGGCCCAGCAGTCAGGTAGCTCCTCTCTGTTTGAAGGGCGCCTGTCGCTCCTGTCTTCCCCAGCCCTTTGCACAGAGGAAGGGAGCCTGGCTGCCACGGCGTGATCGGGATCGCCTGGGCAGGGCTGCTAGGTTTTTCGGGCCCTTCCCCACGCCTGGAGAACCCTCCCTTCTCGGCAAGGAACGAAGCGAGGGGCCGGCTGTGCCCTGCAGGTTTGAAGCAACCAAGCTTTGACCTTGCTGAGACCACGGAGGGCACGTCTAAGCAACGGCCAGCCACCCTGCTGCGCTTGCGGCTTCTTACAGGGGTGAGCAGGCAAGAAGCAGTTCCCTCCAGCTGCATGCCCCCCGGGGCTGGCGTGCAGAGCGGAGAGGCCCCTTTCTGTGCATTGCCGGACCTCTGCCTGGCAGCCTCTCGTTCCCTGCCCCTTGCCAGTGCCCCCTTGCGGGACCCATCTGACTGGAGCTCTGCTCCCCCCACCCGTCCCCATTTCCTGCAGGCCTGTCAGTTGGAAGGGTGAAAGGGGCCCCAGTCTTGCCCTCCCCAGCTGACTCTTAAGGAACGGGTGCTGTGTGTGCGTCTTGTCTCAGCGGTGCCAGTTCCCAGCTCTTGTCGTTTCTGTTCCCGTATGTATGTCGCGCGAGGCCGCCCTCTGCCTCTTGGACTTTGTATATACTGTAAAAAGGAATTGTTTGAAATTTGTCGGGTTTTTTTTCTCCCCCCACCCCCCCTTTCCCGAGCTCGAGGCCTCGCGTGGCTTCGTCAAGAGTGACCTGGGGGGAGGCTGCTTAGCCCCAGCACAAGTCTCGTTCGACGGCGATCCGCCCTGTCTTAAAAGCACACTGCCGTGGCGTCCTCGCGCCGCCTTTCTGGCACTCGCTTGGCCTTCTCGATCTCCCGCGGGGAGGGCGGCTTCCGAGAGTTGCCTTAAAACCATGACCTGGGACATCCCCCTCTCCCCCTTCGCCCAGACAACGGGACGGCCTCGAAGTCAAGAGCGTTGGGAGGTTGCAAGCCTTTTCTTGCCAGCGTAGTCCCCCCCCCCCCGTGTGAGAACCGTCCATAGTAGAGGGAGCGCTCACCACCTTGATACGGTTTTATGAACTCGCGACTCAGGTAGGCACAAAATACAACAGCCAAAAGATGAGCCGTGCAAACTCCTGACGAGAGGCACACGGCGTCTTGAGAGTAAACCTCAGGGTTACCTTACTTTGAGGGAGGGGGGGAGGCCTTTTACAGAAGCACCACGTTGTAGCAAAGCTCTTGTAAAAAAAATGAGTTTTCTTCCGGGCCCGACTTTATGCTCCTGACCTTACTAGCTAAGGTATTCGCGTAAGAAATGCCCTACCTCAGCTGCAGGATCCTTGCCTGTTGGGTGCATGCAAAGCTTTTGGCCTTCTGTTTGTATTGGTGTTAGTGTATTGCTGTTGTTGTTTTTTTTAAAAAATACAGATAAGTCATATTTGTGTAAAAAATATATATATTATTTAACTGACGTTAGTGCACCTCCCAACTTGGGTAAGGGGTAGAAATACACGTTCAGTTTCCAGGCTGCCTCTGTGCAGGTTGCATGGAGACCAAGACTTCTGTCCTGGGCAGCTGGATCAATCTAGTAAGCAGGCAGCTCTCTGCTATATGCTAGGGATTCCCCCCCCCCCCTTGCTTTGCAGAACTTCCTGAGTGGAGAATTAAAAACCAAAGATATAATAGTCTAGAGCAGTGTTTCTCAACCTTTGCCAGCTTGAAGTCCCGTGGACTTCAACTCTTCAGAATTCCCCAGCCAGCTGTGCTGGCTGGGGGATTCTGGGAGTTGAAGTCCACGGGACTTCAAGTTGGCCAAGGTTGAGAAACACTGGTCTAGAGCAGTGTTTC